ACACTTATACTTAACCTCAAAATACAGGGTCGGATACCATTAGCTGAGAAGAACCGAGAAAGTCTAGTGAGATGCTATCGGACCATTGCCAAACAGGTAAGGGGAGATGAGGAGACACAAGAGCTCCAGAATACTTAACAGAGTCCCGGACCCTCACGGTTTTGACCGTGATTGGGTTCCGCAAACCTTTGGAACCTATCTTTCGGATGTAACCACAGCAGATTGTCAACTCTAATGGCTCCACTGCTTCTAAACTCATCCAAAGGGACACCTCAGGAGTAGCATGATATTTAGTCAAGTAAGTTGTGCAACAACATAATACTTCTGAAAGTAGGGATACCTAGCCCTTCCTAAAATAAATGTATTTTAAAATGTAACTTGTGTAAATACTTAAATATGACTTCATTGCAGCCTCTTGTAACCATTTCATGACCAGGGGTCATTGATGCCTAGATCTCCAGGCCCAATTTAGCAGTGTCAGCAGGCATCAGTTAACTTGATAATAACTCTGTGACTAATTTGAAGGCTTTTATATTGTATACTGTTTTAATAATAAAAACCCTGTTCTGTTTTTTTTATTATAGGCTGGCAATTGCACAAAAATGTAAAACATTAATATTTAAAATGTTTCTCTTTTTTAATTAAGGTAACAATGTAACTGTATGTGACAATTACACTATTAAATAGGTGGCACTGCAGCCTAAAGGTGGCAAGCTGAAGGCTTATTTTGTCATTGCTGCCTCCAGCCTGCATGTATTTACTATCTCATAGCTGACATAGTGATCACATGATCAGGAGTCACGCTGACTGAATCCCAGTCGTTAGTGTGGACCCAAGCTGTCACTGACAACCAGGATTAAAAGCAGCCAGCCACGCAAAGTGTCAGCTTGTGGCTCTAAAGGAGGAAATATTTACTTTTTCCGCAGCCCGCAGAGTGATTTCCACTCACCTCATAGTTCTAGCCGACCTGTGACAATGAGACTGTCACAGGTCGGCTCAGTAGATCGGGAGGTGAGCGAACACATACCGGGTTCGCTCACCTCTCGATCCTGTCACGGCTCTCTGCCGTGACAGGGGGAGGGGCTGGATTCCCCCCTCCCCGCTCCGATCCGCCAGCGCTGACTGGCGGAACGGACGGGGGAGGGGGCGGGTACAGCTGGCTCTGCCTCTAGATAGGCAGAGCCAGCTGTCACTCACGCAGCTGGGCGGATCCCGTCATCTAAGTCGGGATCCGCTCCGGCTGCGGCGTCTCAGTATACCGCGAGCTACAGCTCGCGGTATACTGAGCTTAGGGTAACGGGAGGACGCTAGTTTGTGTCCTCACGTTACCCTAAGGAGAACTATGGGGAAAAACACTGACCCCATAGTTCTCCTTTAATATAATACTGTAGGAGGGAAGGGGTTAATTCCCTGTACAGTAGTACTGGGGCAGGAAGCAACAGCACAAGAAGCTAGTCAAGTGCCCTGCACTGTACATGTGCTGACAAGAGGAGAGTGCAGATAGATGACATTATTGCTTTGTTGCTGCTCCTTCACTACTCAGTCACAGGCTGGGGGCAGGGATGTAACCTATCTGTGTTGCTAAACTGCAGCAGAGAGAAGTTAGATTACCAGGCTAGTGTATCATCTTTCAGGACTGGACTGTGCTGTACACAGTTATGTCAGTGAACAGTTTAAACACACCTGCAGGAAGGAAGAGCAGAATGATGACATCATCAGTGTACTGTCTCTTCTTTACTGTTCAATAAAAGGCCAGGGGCAGCTAAATGACCATCCAAGTGAATTTTCTGATTTAGTACATTTGCAGTGTTTGCTGGCTGCATCAGGGGAACACTGTTGCCTAGTATTGATCTTTAAAGGGAACCTTCACCCTCCCCATCCACTTTTCTTCATTCTACCCCTACCATGCTTCTTTTTCCAGAATCAGTCAATCTTTTAAAAAATGTTAATACCTTTTTTTTGGGGGGGGGGAACGTATTCAGTTACCCCCAGCTTCTCAGGATGTCACGCATCCCAGGAGGCCTTGGGGTACTCTACAGCATATGCACTATGGGGTGTCATCAGGGGTCTGCCTGCCTCTTCATTGTTCTGGCTAAAGTAGGGGGTCAGCCAGCCCCCTAATGATGTCAGAGAAGAAGATGTTGACATAAGACTTGGTGATCAGCAGTGAATAGGCTGGATCCCTACAGAACTCCTCTGGATTCACTTGTCATTTGAGTATGCTTCTTGAAAAGAAGGTAAAAGGGGGAGAAAACTTTGGGGGGAGTGAAGTTCCTCTTTAAGTTAATTAATGTGTTGCTGTAACATGGCAAGGCAAATTGGAAGAAATGATTCACCTTTATAGTCATAAACTTTAATATGATGGCTGGTTTTTATGAAGAACATTAAATCCATAAAGCAATCTCTCCTGACATCAAACCCAAAAGACCCTAGGCCCTTAAACACAATCTATACAAGTGATTTGGAAGATACAGCCAATTCCATGGTAGAGTTATAACAGTGGTAATTACAACATATCATATGTTTCCAAAACAGCCTTGTTAGTTGCTTCCTAGTTGAAAATAGAAATACCAGAGTTCTGGTACCATAAATGATCAAGCCAAGTCATGCTTGTACATTATTTTGGCCTTAATAATACAATCAATGGCGTTTCTTACCTAGTTTGATGGGCAGGAGCTGTGGTTGTTTGTAAGGATTCCTGAATGCCAAACTGAATTTCAAAATGAGTCAGCTGTTCTTCCTCAGTTTCATCCATTCTGATGTAAAAGAAAACATTAAAAAAATATTATCTTAAAAGGAAAGGCCGAGTATCATAAAAAATATTTACTCTATATGTACAACACCTGTGACAATCATCAAAACTTTGACTATGCACTAACAAAATCCCATATTGAATAATGTGTGTTTGGCATTGATGTTATAGATGAAATAATGAGTGTAATAACTTTTATTAAGCTGATTCAAGCCTTGTGGTGAATTGAAGAATCAAATGGATTCCATTCAAAGTAATGAGAAATGCCAACTGTACAGTTGTCAACAGAACAGAAGGTGAGGGGAAGTCTTCCAATGGGGACACGTGCTCTGGTGATGATTGTCTAACAGGGGATTTCACTCTGTGGAGAGTTCCTTTTACTTGCTGTTGTGTCTCCTGGACAGAAAGTGAAAGGAAATATGCCCACAGGGACACACATCGCAAGAAATATTACACTATTAAATAGACCAATGCTGCCACCACCCTGCTTCACCGTGGGAATGGTTGAATACACCAACAGAAAAATTGACAGGATTTTATTTTATTCCCTATTTTAGCCTAAACTAAGAAAACATTTTAGCTATAGATACTCATTTTCAATGGAGAACAAGAACAGGAACAGGGACTAAAACTTTATTGCTAAATAGTTTTTATTTTTGGTGCTGGTATTTATTTATTTTAAACGTCTTTCAGTGCACAATTAAGGGTCTCAGTGGGCTGCTATAGCAGCAATTTATCCCCCCCCCCCATATCTGCTGGATGGGTGAGTATTAATGTAGCAGGAGCCCGCCTGCTCAAAGCCCCCTTGCTATGAGGTGCCAGGTCATATGCCTGGTGTGCCCCAGTTTTATATTTGAGGCTGGGAGTTAGACATTTTTAGTATTAAAACACTGAAGGTAAAATACAAAGAAACCGAGCTTTCAATGGTCTGAACCGTGCAGAATGGATTGTAGGACAAGAACAGGTGGGCAGTTGTCCCTACAGACTTAAATGATTTGCTCATCTCTAAATGTAACCTAAAGTAACATTAGTTTCAACAGCTGTTGCTTTACATACCATAGCTCTATAATATATTGGACATGACATCATACCCAACCCCCATATCAGGTAATGTGAGAAAACACTTCTGTGCTATGAGTAGAAATTCAAACTGGAAACTAACATCATTTGTTTAACTGTAGCATCTTCCTTAAATAACACACCTTCTTCAGTGTTGTGCAGTTCATTCAACAGCCACCTCAAGACAATACTGTCATATCAAGTTATCCCCATCTGTAATCCTATATGTCAAAGAGAGAACAATGGCTATACATATGGAGAATAAATATTTTAGCACAGCACTATATAATATTCAGTACACTGTTACAAGCCGGTCAGTGAAGAGTTACCAGCTCAGGCCTTCCACGATGACACAGCGGTGGAGAAATACCAATGGATAACATAGGGAGTAACCCCAGATAACCAACACAACTGCTATAACTAATATGGATCAAAATGTAATGACAACTCCAATCCTACGAGGAAGCCTTGAAAATGACTTTTGATTTACTCACCTCTTGCAGTCCTCATCTGAACATGGCTACACAGAGGCCTTCACAAGAACAGCCGCCTGCAAAACACAGTGACACGCTCTCTAAAATTAAACATGAAGCACACTGTTAAATATAGATCTGACCTTGTGAAACAGTACACCAAGCACACATACACACACTTATAGGAAAGAACTACATGCACATGATTTCATATAATCTTGTTTAGCTTACTACAATGCATTGATATACTTAGGTTTATTACTAATTTAGTTCGGGGACATAAAAATATAAATAGATATGATACAATAATAAATGTGATAAAGATTAATAAAGCCCAGCTCTGGGCAAAAACAAGTACCCCCCTCCTACCCTCCTCTAGCTTACTACAATACATTGATATACATACTGTAGGTGTAATTGTAATTCAGTTCAGGGCTATAAAAATACTGTATATATAAATATAATACAATAATAAAGATATTTATATTTTATTAAAGTCCAGCTCTGGGCCATCCTATAGCTGATCACTGGTATAGAAAAAACCCCAGATTTAAACGACTTTATTACTTACCTAAACTGAGGTTACATGACTTTTAGGTCCCAAGCCTTCTCTTCTGTTCACATCTGGAAGGGACTTTTCTCCAGTGTCTAAATCACTGCATGTGCGACTTGGACACTTCCTTTTGGTGGCAGCAGTACTTCCAGTGGCAGGGCCCTTTCACATCAGCTTTAGAGGCATGGGGGTGGTGAAGAGACCGGTCCCTAAACAGAATGAGTGGGGAGAACAAGCGGGGGAAAATGTCAGGTCCCTAGGACCGAACTTTGCTGACAAAGGTTATTGTATGAGACTTCAGAATGTGGAGTGGGTTAGGAAGATGTTTTGTGAACACCACAGCTGATATAGTTAGATTTTTGTCCAGAGTTGGGCTTTAATAATAATTGCAATTTCTTGATGCTGTAAGCTTTTACTACAGGGAGCTTGCCAGGAAGAAAACATGAAACCTGCCATTGCTGCATTGGTTTATACGGTGCATCCTCATGTTTTACTCACTACTTAGTTGATCAAGCAAACAACCAGTGAAGTGTCAGGACACCTGGTAGGCATGTACTTGTTCCAGGTCACTGACTCAATAGGTAGTGAAGGAAAGATTGAGGATAACTGCCTCAAATCTGTATCTTGAAAAACAAAACAACAATGGCAGCTCCTATATTTCTGTCCTGACATGCCCCCTTTAAAATGCACTTTATAAAGAATTACTTAGAATATAAAGACACATTGTCACTAACCTAAAGGAGAACTCTGTTACCACTGTTTAGATGTAAACTGGCCACCTGTAGGGAAGCAGTGGTCTCTCTGCAGAGGTCCAATGAGCCCCCTTCTGATTCAAAGCTAGAGTTCTTCAATTAGCAGGGTGCAGGAGCTTTATTAATGACAGGGCTAAAGGTCTGACTTAAGTCAGAGCTATAGGTCTCCACACAGAGAGTAAGGTCCCTTTTACACGGGCAGTCCTCTTGTCAGTTTTTTAGGCGGACCCGATCGGATGCCCAATACTAGTCTATGGGCAGCCGTGTGTAAACAGACAGGTGTCCATTTACACCCAGTTACCCCTGACTTTGTCCAGGTCTTGAAAAAAAAATGAAACAATGTTCCATTTCGACAGACCTAATTGTGCCAGATCGGGGGTAATCTGATGTAAACGGACACATATCCATTTACATCAGATTCCCCATAGACCAACATGGGGCCCAGTCATTTCAGCTTTTCACTACATCCTAAGATGGAGGACAAAAATGGACAGACACAGATGTCCGATCTGTACCTGTCTGATCAGGAGGAAAGCCATGCAATCCCCTCTTAATCAACCTGTGTGAAAAGGGCTTCAAGGTCCTTCTCTGCAGCATGTTGGCAGGGGTCAAGCTTTTCTACTCAGGTTTTGGCTGCTTTCTAAAGAAAACTAATTTGTCTGTCAGTTTTTTAGCTGGATCTGTTTGGAAGCCCAATGTTAATCTATGAGCAGCCGGATGTAAACGGATGTGCATCTGTTTACATCTGATTACCCCTGAATTCAACCAGGTCTGGAAAACCAAACTGGCAGATGCCCGTAGTAAAGGGGCCTTAGATATTGAACATCTTTTGTTTTGATGCACCTGGGATGTATTTAGCTGATTTAAACTAAAAGTTAAGTTGGGCTTTAATCACATGATACAGCAAAAGCACATAAATTAAAAACAAAAGAGAATAACAGAAATATGCATCTTTGTCAATATTTATTGGTATATGTTTAAATATGTAACTCATTGAAAGCATATCACAATTAGATAACCCCCCAGAGATACATTAAATATGTCTCCTGAAGAGGGGTAATGATTCTCTCCTTTCTCTAAATATAGCAGTCAGCGGATCTCCTATCTTATATTCCAGTGTTACTCAGCCTTCTTTGTCTTGTGTATCATGTACACGGTGTGCATTTCACCATTGATCTGTACTCACCTAGCACAACATGCTTCAGCCTCCGTTCATACTTGTGCGCCTGCATTTTCATCGGTTATTTAGCGTGTTTTTATGCGTTTCAATGCGGATTTCATGCATTCTGCTTTTTTGTTTTGGCCAACAAAGATGTCATTAAGTATAGGTTGCTAGTCGGTGGGGGCTTGTTGTCATGTGCTAAAACATTGCATGCCTTTTTCATGCACTCCCGCTAAAGTCTATGGGGCTTAAAATGCACCATGTTCCAAAGGAATGAGCCCCACATAGAATAACATCATTCCTTTTGCCGTGCATTGTTGTGCAATGGCAAAAGTGCTTCAAACTGCACAGGTATGAATGGGGATGGCATCAATGTTAGGAAGAGTCGGTAATACACAGCACTTGCCTACGACTGCCAATCTAGCTCACCTTGGGGAACACACAACCCCTGAATGTGCCTCAAGTTGGAGAAGATCAGCAGCAAAGCAGAGTGCCATAAGCATTGGTGCAAGGCTGTAGGTAGGAGGCAGTAATGTAGATTCCTTCAGCCCTTGCCTTTGGCATTACAACACAGAATGCTGCCTCTTGTCCATCCCCAAGGCTACATTCACACTTGTCACTTGAGTTTTTGTTCTCTGTATGCAGAAGAAAATCTGTCAGACTAGATGCTCTGGTTATGCTTCTTGACGCTTTAAATGATGTGCATGCACATGCATTTAGATGCATCTGGTACCAAATCCTAGCATCAAAATGCATTACATATATTCATGTGCATTTTGAAGTTCAAATTGGTTCCTAGATGCACCTGACTTCTATTTTCTGAAAACACGCAAAAACTGACTGCAGATAAAAGCACCTAGAGGCAATGTGTAAAGTTATACCCATTGGAATTCATTAGATGCATATATATATATTCGTTTAGAAGAGTTTTTTTAATTGTATATCAAAGCATCTAATTGCACATGGCTGCGATTGGCTTGCTTTTGAGCTGCTTCTGTGTTGCTTCCAAGTTTTCCTTTCATCTTCCTCCTGAGATCCTTTATGTCCTCAGCTTTCTCAAGTTGCTTCTGTGCTCACATTGACCTGTATTGGGAAAGAAAAGCAATTAAAGGCCATAAATGGTCATTTTGAATTATATTAGAACTATTATCATTTCACATTCATCCTTCTCTGTCTACATTGTGCTGGTCATATACAAACATATCTGTATTACTTAATTTTAATTAGATGATTTATTGATGATCGTTTTCATTAATTAATCTGACAAACATATCTATTTAAATAAGAAAACAAGGTGAATGAACACAACTCTCAATGAAGTGACAGAGCGAGAGATTCCATTTATCATATCTGAAATCCGAAGTTCCGTGTACTACGTAAATATTACGTCTGCACGATTACTCCAGGCTTGAACGCTCTCTCGGCGATCGGTTGCTCCAGTCTGGATTGAGGCTCGTCTTACCCGGCGTGCTTAGCGGGACAGCCATGGCCGGCGTACTGAAGAAGGTGAGCGCTGAGAGGTCACCCGGGCGATCGGCACCTGACGGGGACGGGAAAGCCATGTGTCATTGTGCTGGGCTCAGTCCCTGGTTGTGGAGGTGGCCCCAGGGTGTAGTATGTTAGTGTAGCTCAGCTCTGGATGACAGGTCGTACTCGTCACACGTCTAGGCTTCACATTTGATCCCGGACTCTGGAGTGTAAAAGGGAATCTCGTTGGGCTGATCAGGATTGGGCTGATCAGGATATGTGATCCCATAGTAGAACCTAAATTCGAACACTCCATGAACTTACATGGGGGAATTTATCAAAACGGGAGCAGTTGCCCATAGCAACCAATCGGCTTCAGTTTGTTCAGTTAAGCTTTGGAAATGAAAGATAGAAGCTGATTGGTTGCCGTGTACAGCTGCTCCAGTTTTGATAACCACCTTTGACTTGGTGTTTGCAAGTGGTTGGTCATGTCCCGTGCCGGACCTGTCTTCATGTGACTGTGAGGGGCTTTGCTGGAACACTGAAGAGATAAAGTAGGTGGCAAGCATATCCATCTTATATTATAGAATGTACAGGCATTTGTAGCTTGAATATTTCATTCTGATTACAGGTTCACTTGAGACAAAACATCAGTCTTTGTTACATGGGGCTGCATGTCATCATTCTTATGGGCCTCTGTAACTTGTCAGATTAATTGTGTGTGTATATATGTGTGATATAGATAGATAGAGATATAGATAGATCTATATACACACAATTATTATTTTTTCCTGTACAGTCTTTTAGGGCTGCAACAACTAATCAACATAATCGATTATAATCGATTATTGAAAAAGTTGTCAACTTTTTCAATAATCGATTAATCGGCTTCCGATCAGTTGGCCCTGTTTACGGCTCCACACACGCTGTGCGCCGCACCTCCTCCCCAACTCACGCTCACCGCTGCCAAACCCGCCCACATCCACGCTCTACACGCCGCACCTCCTTCCCGCCTCACACTCATCGCCTGCCCACATTCACGATCGTCATAGGGACGCGGGGAGATGTAGTAAGGAGGAGCAGGTGTGGGGGGATGACAGCCGCCGATAGACAGGCCCGATCTCAGAAACAAGTTGCTGGAAGACTGCTCAGGTAATCCTGCACTTTCCCCACATGGTGCTCTATAATGTATTGCTGGGATTTGTATTCATCTATAGCCGATAGTACATTGTGCTGTATATTATACATAGGAATACAAATCCCAGCAATACATTATACACTGTATGTATAATGTATTGCTGAGATTTGTTGTTCTCTATAGTTGCTGATATTCTGCACTGCGCAGTGTAGAGGACTACAAATGCCAGCAATAATACATTATACAGCGCCATGCGGAATTCCACCAGCTATAGAGGAACACAACAAATCCCAACAATAATACATTATACAGTGGTGCAATGCCGAATACCACCAACTATAGAGGACTACAAAACCCAGCAACAGCACATTATACAGCACAATGCAGAATACCGCCAGCTATAATGTACTATTGCTGGGATTTGTTGTGCTCCTCTATAGCTGGTGATATTCTGCATTGCGCTGTATAATGTACTATTGCTGGGATTTGTAGTCCTCTATAGCCGGTGCCATTCTGCATTGATTGCTATATAATTTTACACTTTTCATTTCACTATATTGCACAACACACTTTTTTTCTTTTCTTTTTTACTTCCACCGCTCCAAGCTTGCTCCTGTGATGGTCTACAATCTCAATACAAACTAGTAGTCCCATCACTGGAGCCATTTAAAAAAAAAACTATTTTATTGTTTATTCGATTAACCGATTAATCGGCTAACTAATCGATTTTGAAAATAATCGTTAGCTGCAGCTCTACAGTCTTTATAAGCAACGAAAAAATTTCATTTTTTTGAACATTTTCTTAACACTCATTTTTAATTTTTTTTCAGACCACTGGCTTGGTTGGAATAGCTGTATCCCAGAATCCACATGAGGTAGGTTTAAAGACTTGTTCAAATGGGGGGGAAAGCACAAATTGCATTTCCAGATATTTGTGTAGAACAGGAGTATTTTATTACATTTAGAGCTGAATGGCAGGTACATTGGTTCAGCTTAGCCTAACTATGAATATGATGTACCTGGTCAGTCCAGGGGGATCCTGTAAAGCCTTGGTTCTCAACTGGTGGGTCGCCGCATGCCTTCCACTTTTCTAGGTGAGAGGCTCCTCAGCCTCCCCCTAGCGCAGCACCGTCCATTCTTACACCGAGCAGCCATTCCAAATATGCTACCCTTTGCCGAGTGTCGACTTGAGGTGGGGTGGGCTGAGGGTATGGCCCCGAGGGAGGTCCATTCATATGTGCATTGCTTACAGCTTCCTCACATGTCCTGTAGAGGTGCCTGGACTGGAGTGACGTCACATTCTGGCTCCCGACACCTCTACAGGCGCGTATGGGAGCTGTACAAGCAATGCACATATGGATGGGGCTCCATCACAACACAGCAGCCCAAACTGCTGTGCGTTCCATTGCAGTGCAACTTGGGTCGCGACTTAATGACCGAGGACAAATGTGGGTCCTGAGGTTACACAGGTTGAGAACCACTGCTGTAAAGCATTGTAGTAGCCAGAGCTACTACAGTGTTGGCCATGATCTTCTGGGTTTTATACTGTTGTTGTGCTGAGCAGCTTTCCCCTTTGCTCTAAAAAATGGCCATTCAGCGAATACCTGGTATTTTTAATAATGAATACAAGGCATTCACTGATTTGATAAAGGGTGGGTCATGACATCACCACTCTGGTCCAATCAGAGAATGCCTTGTATTCATTATTAAAAATACAAATTGTTTTCTAAAAGGCTACTAGAGTGATCAAGCACAGTGCAGTACCAAGACCTGGAAGATCACGGCCAGCAGTGTAGTAGCTTCGGTTACTGCAGTGCTTTACAGGATGCCCATCAGCCAAACGGGTATGGCATATGCATATACTTAGTCTGTATTCTAAGTCTGGTTTCAAATTTTGCACACAGTTGTAATGTTAGTAGCTTGTTAAACACATTTATTTTTATATAATTAATGAGTTTAACTTGTAATTAGCAGTACAACAGTTCATTAAGTGGTGCTCACACAATATGATCAGCCCCAGTGCATGCATGCATCCAGACCTCGGATCAGCCCCAATGCTGCATGCACTCCATCCAGACCTCGGATCAGCCCCAATGCATGCGCTCCGTCCCTACCTCGGATCAGCCCCAGTGCATGCGCTCCGTCCAAACCCCGGATCTGCCCCAATGCTGCATGAGCTCGGTCCAAACCTCGGATCAGCCCCAAACCAGTGCATGCGCTCCGTCCAAACCTCGGATCAGCCCCAGTGCATGCGCTCCGTCCAAACCTCGGATCAGCCCCAGTGCTGCATGCGCTCCGTCCGAACCTCGGATCAGCTCCAGTGCTGCATGCGCTCCGTCCGGACCCCGGATCAGCTCCAGTGCTGCATGTGCTCCGTCCGGACCCCGGATCAGCCCCAGTGCTGCATGCGCTCCGTCCGGACCCCGGATCAGCTCCAGTGCTGCATGTGCTCCGTCCGGACCCCGGATCAGCCCCAGTGCTGCATGCGCTCCGTCCGGACCCCCGGATCAGCCCCAGTGCTGCATGCGCTCCGTACGGACCCCCGGATCAGCCCCAGTGCTGCATGCGCTCTGTCCGGACCCCCGGATCAGCCCCAAACCTTGTACCCTTATGTAAACAGTACCGCGGTATGCAGGCAAGCTTCTTCCACAGCATATCAACATCCTTTCAGCGACATCAGGAAAGTGGGTGTGCCAGGCTTTCTATTTAAGAGCCTAGTGAGCTGTCGATTACAGCCAGTCACTGTGTGTGTCAGTGCAAACAACATTGCATGCCCATCTGGACCCTCATGCCAGGGGTTGCCGACCCCTGGTGTAGAACATTACGTTGATATAAGGTGATTGTAATTGACTGTTGTTACACCACGTTATTCACTTGTTGCTTTAATCTTACAGCACTTGAAGTTATTGTATACAAAAATCCTTGCTGCCCTGCAGACCATTCCTAATGACGCTGCCTACCGGAAATACACTGAACAAATTATCAGTGAACGCTTTCATGCAGTAAAGACCGTAAGTAATAAGAAGTTGTCAGTGAAGTTACGTGAAACCTAATCATGTATAAATATCAAAATATCAACTGTTTTCTCCAGTGTGATCATTTGTTCTTTTTTTAGTGTGTGTGCAATATTAAAACATATTGTTAATAATAATGAATGTGCATTGCACAGCTTGTATAATACATGGGGATTGAATTCAGAATCTTGGCTTTAATAGCACTACATTTCTATCCAGTAAACTAACCAAACAAGCTGCCAAAATGACCTTTGCTCACTGTAGTAGCTCACTCAGTCAATTCATTGCTTAAATTGTCTGTGGTCATGTGGTCTTGATTTTATCAAAGGACCTTCAACCCACTGGGATTAGCTTTGGTGACACCATCATTACTACAGCCCTACAAAATCACCATCATTACTACAGCCCTACAAAATCACCATCATTACTACAGCCCTACAAAATCACCATCATTACTACAGCCCTACAAAATCACCATCACCATCATTACTACAGTCCTAAAAAATCACCGTCATTACTACAGCCCTACAAAATCACCATCATTACTACAGTCCTACAAAATCACCATCATTACTACAGCCCTACAAAATCACTATCACCATCATTACTACAGCCCTACAAAATCACCATCACCATCATTACTACAGTCCTAAAAAATCACCGTCATTACTACAGCCCTACAAAATCACCATCATTACTACAGTCCTACAAAATCACCATCATTACTACAGTCCTACAAAATCACCATCATTTCTACAGTCCTACAAAATCACCATCATTACTACAGCCCTACAAAATCACCATCAATACTACAGCCCTACAAAATCACCATCATTACTACAGCCCTACAAAATCACCAATACTACAGCCCTACAAAATCACCATCATTACTACAGTCCTACAAAATCACCATCAATACTACAGTCCTACAAAATCACCATCATTACTACAGCCCTACAAAATCACCATCAATACTACAGCCCTACAAAATCACCATCACCATCATTACTACAGCCCTACAAAATCACGATCCCCATCATTACTACAGCCCTGCAAATTTGCCATCATTACTACAGCCCTGTATGTCTCCCCAGATGTAGTGCCTGGTATCACAAGAATGCTGGCTGTATAGTAGTAATGTAAAATGTAAGGATCTTTGATTAGGGTCAGGAACGTTGCAGATGGGAAGCAAATCTTTACTTCCACTTGGCTGTTCAAAGGGAGGAACATCCTTTCTGTGACTGTTGTCACTGCAATAAGTGTCCGTTTATAGGAAGATTTTCCTTAAGCCCTATTCCGATGTGAACTAAACATTTTAGATGTTCTCTCACCGTTAACTGGTGACAACCATCATTGGAACAAACAGAGGGTGACGCTATGCAGCGTGTTGTACGATCGCACTGCACCAGAACAGAGGGCATTGCTGTACCTTACGTTCCTGTGCGGGTGATTGCACTGCGGGCAGGGGGGCGTGTCTGACATGCCATTGACACCCTCCTGCCCCAGAACGCGGCCTGGCTTGATTACTGCAATCCAGTGCGTTCCGGCCACGAATCCTAGATTGTTCACACCTTGTCCGTATCATGTCCAGACCAGAACAGTTTGTTCCTGGACCAAAAAGCATCCCAATGTATCCCTATGGTTTGTCTGGGCTCTGTTCACACGAACGCAGTCTATTCTGGTCCAGAAAACAAACAAAAAAACAGCTTGTCTCATTTTGTGTGGTCTGGATTGCATTAAAACCGCATATGCAAATGCACTGGACTGCACCTGAAGGCCTGCTTTCAGCTTAAAAAATACACTGCGTTTGCAGATTTGCTCCAGATCAGGTCCGGACATGGTGTGAACAAGCCCTAAAGCTCTACCTGCTAGCTCAGAAGAACAACGCTTATTTTACCTGACACTTTTTTTTCTTTACGTACACTATGTACAAAACCACCATTCATTTGCTGCAGCTGGTGCCTTTTGAGCCTGTTCTGGAACAATATGTCCCTGCATAAAGGTGCCTGCTTATTTTTAACCCTCCCTGGTGTTCCAACTCATGCAGAAGCCATGAAAAATAAGGATGGTGTTAAAGACCAGCTCCATCCAAAAGTAATATAACTCCATCATGTATGAGCACAGCAGTGACACAACTGGCAATTCTGGGAGGAATTTTAAAAACGTACACTTGCAGTGGGGCTACCTCCTACACCGCAAGGATTAAGTGCTGGTTTAGTCTAGGGGAGTCAAGTTAAGCTGATCCTCACTCAATCCTTTGTCTCCCTTGGCTGCTAAACTGGTCCCGCAACCTCTTCTCCCACCAGGCTTCGGCAGTCTAAAGCAGGGGTAGCAAACCTCCGGCCCTCCAGCTGTGGTGAAACTACAAATCCCATGATGCATCTCTTTGGGAGTCATGTCTGTGAGAATCTTGCAATGCCTCATGGGATTTGTAGTTCCACCACAGCTGGAGGGCCAGAGGTTTGCTACCCCTGGTCTAAAGAACACTGACATCACGTTTAATGCAGGTCCATTGACATGCATGAGAGGTAAGTTTGCTGAGGGACAATCCTTACCCGGAGCAGAGGGTGAGAGAGGTGAGCGCTGGCCCACCATTGGACTGAAAATCAGGTGCATAAAACGGCTTTGTTTGAGCCTCTAGACAAAACCAGCTCTTAACCCTTGCAGAACAGGGGTAGCCCCACTCCAAAGGTAGATTTTTAACATTCCTGAAGTTCTTCTTTAACCTGTATTATTTATGTATTCATCGTGCTACATTTCCAGTCTTTTTTTTTATTTTTTAAGCTTTATGTATTCACAATCCTTTATTTTGTATTTCTAGGAAGCCAACGTTGAGAAACTAGAGCAGAGGATTAATTGTGGTCAAATTGAAGAAGTCATTCAACAGGTAAATCCTCTAAGATTTAGGTGCCGTTTGCATGCTGGATAGCCATGTGTTATGCCAACACTTAAGAAGACTATATAATAGAATCTTTTACACTATAACCTTTGGTGTATATAGCTATATTATTTCTGCATAGGTCGATGCAATCCTGTCACCCTAAAGTAAAAACTAAGCAGTCACATCATTAGATCCATGGAGATTACAGTTTAAATTGTATACTACGTTCATGCATACACTGACCGGCCAATGAATGGCAGAATGTTTTGGGATTGTGTGAAATCTGTAAACCGTGTCTTTGGTAGAAAATGAATCCGGTACTCTATTGTCGCAAGTCAAGAGTGCGAACTACTTAGCCACTGTGCATCAGTTATGATAAAGGTATAGGCAAGAGGGCAAACTACTTGGCCACTGTGCATCAGTTATGTTAAAGGTATAGGCAAGAGGGCAAACTACTTGGCCACTGTGCATCAGTTATGTTAAAGGTATAGGCAAGAGGGCAAACTACTTGGCCACTGTGCATCAGTTATGTTAAAGGTATAGGCAAGAGGGCAAACTACTTGGCCACTGTGCATCAGTTATGTTAAAGGTATAGGCAAGAGGGCAAACTACTTGGCCACTGTGCATCAGTTATGTTAAAGGTATAGGCAAGAGGGCAAACTACTTGGCCACTGTGCATCAGTTATGTTAAAGGTATAGGCAAGAGGGCAAACTACTTGGCCACTGTGCATCAGTTATGTTAAAGGTATAGGCAAGAGGGCAAACTACTTGGCCACTGTGCATCAGTTATGTTAAAGGTATAGGCAAGAGGGCAAACTACTTGGCCACTGTGCATCAGTTATGTTAAAGGTATAGGCAAGAGGGCAAACTACTTGGCCACTGTGCATCAGTTATGTTAAAGGTATAGGCAAGAGGGCAAACTACTTGGCCACTGTGCATCAGTTATGTTAAAGGTATAGGCAAGAGGGCAAACTACTTGGCCACTGTGCATCAGTTATGTTAAAGGTATAGGCAAGAGGGCAAACTACTTGGCCACTGTGCATCAGTTATGTTAAAGGTATAGGCAAGAGGGCAAACTACTTGGCCACTGTGCATCAGTTATGTTAAAGGTATAGGCAAGAGGGCAAACTACTTGGCCACTGTGCATCAGTTATGTTAAAGGTATAGGCAAGAGGGCAAACTACTTGGCCACTGTGCATCAGTTATGTTAAAGGTATAGGCAAGAGGGCAAACTACTTGGCCACTGTGCATCAGTTATGTTAAAGGTATAGGCAAGAGGGCAAACTACTTGGCCACTGTGCATCAGTTATGTTAAAGGTATAGGCAAGAGGGCAAACTACTTGGCCACTGTGCATCAGTTATGTTAAAGGTATAGGCAAGAGGGCAAACTACTTGGCCACTGTGCATCAGTTATGTTAAAGGTATAGGCAAGAGGGCAAACTACTTGGCCACTGTGCATCAGTTATGTTAAAGGTATAGGCAAGAGGGCAAACTACTTGGCCACTGTGCATCAGTTATGTTAAAGGTATAGGCAAGAGGGCAAACTACTTGGCCACTGTGCATCAGTTATGTTAAAGGTATAGGCAAGAGGGCAAACTACTTGGCCACTGTGCATCAGTTATGTTAAAGGTATAGGCAAGAGGGCAAACTACTTGGCCACTGTGCATCAGTTATGTTAAAGGTATAGGCAAGAGGGCAAACTACTTGGCCACTGTGCATCAGTTATGTTAAAGGTATAGGCAAGAGGGCAAACTACTTGGCCACTGTGCATCAGTTATGTTAAAGGTATAGGCAAGAGGGCAAACTACTTGGCCACTGTGCATCAGTTATGTTAAAGGTATAGGCAAGAGGGCAAACTACTTGGCCACTGTGCATCAGTTATGTTAAAGGTATAGGCAAGAGGGCAAACTACTTGGCCACTGTGCATCAGTTATGTTAAAGGTATAGGCAAGAGGGCAAACTACTTGGCCACTGTGCATCAGTTATGTTAAAGGTATAGGCAAGAGGGCAAACTACTTGGCCACTGTGCATCAGTTATGTTAAAGGTATAGGCAAGAGGGCAAACTACTTGGCCACTGTGCATCAGTTATGTTAAAGGTATAGGCAAGAGGGCAAACTACTTGGCCACTGTGCATCAGTTATGATAAAGGTATAGGCACGATTAAAATCAGTAAAGTTGTCTCTTTTAAGGGTACACTGGTGATCTTGTAAGTATTATTAAAATGATTCTGGCACATGCAAACCAGCATTCCTTAACAAAGTATAAACTCACAAGTGTTCCATGCTGTCCTGTAAAGCTGTACGGCCTTGCGGTATGTAGCAGAGTGCACTTCATAAGTTTAGGGTCATTCAAATCCCCCTTGCTCTGCCACATTTGTCAGTGCCAAAAATAGAGACATCCAATGGTTTGCTGTTGTGTATTCATAATGTTCATATTTTTTTTGTAGGCTGAAAACGAGTTGTATCTGGCAAGGAAGATGTCTGAATGGAAACCTTGGGAGCCTTTAGTTGAAGAGGCGCCTGAAAATCAGTGGAAGTGGCCAATCTAGAATTCCACTCATCTGTAAATATGTGTATACATTTGCATGGGGAAGGCATCTTAACATATTGTCTTTCAAGTTCACAATAAAAAGGTCTGTCTATCGCAGTTGTAGATTTGTGTTCTTTTCTCCTTTTTGAAATATTTCATAAATATAAAATATTAGACCCCCTTATGTCACCTTTGCACTTGAAAGAAGCTGTTTAAGCACAGATTGTGCTTGAACAGCTTCTTCCCCGGCTTCTGTAGCCAGCTAAGAAGCCGGAATTAATTTTATCAGTGGGGAGGAGATCAGCAATTGAATGTTCGCTGGTCTCTCTCCCTGCTTCCAGCCGACACCAGGAAGGGCAGTGGAGCCCAAGAAACAGGGCAATAACCCTTGCCCCACTGCAAAGGTTAAGTTTTATTCTACCCAGAGTTTTTCTTTAAAGTTGCAGTGCAGAGCAACACACAGGTGTGAACAGACCCACATATACAAAACAATGATGCACAATGGCTGAAGCGCTTCACATCGTGTGAACAGGGAATTAGAGAATTAACAACATCACATTGACAGCAGCCAGAAAGGTAGGTGAGGGCTTGTTTTAAAGCTTCTTTCCTGATTTAAGAATGTCTAATTTCCATAGTCTAAGCACAGATTTAAAACTTAGAATGTTTCTCTGTTTGAACATTTATGTGTTACCACACTTTATTTTTATGCAGGGTTTAAATAGCGCCAACAGTTTGCACAGCGCTTTAAATGTCAGTTGTCTGTCTTATCACCTGTGATTGCAGCGATACTGCAGTTTCATCAATAACTCCCTAGGTAAGATTTCAGACCAAGTTCATAATGGTACCAAAATAGTAGTGTTAGCAAGAATCTTTCCTAACCCAAAGATCTGTACCCACATCTTGTGCAGATAAATACATATAAAACTGCACACAACGCATGATGAGATCTTTGTGTTTTTAGAAAACAATGCTGCTAACTACGATGACAGATACGCATTTTGCACGCATTTTCACAAGCATTTATCAGTAACAAATGTCAGCGTTCAATTACTGCGGTTCCTTTCCTTTCTTCACTGGGAACTCACCGCCATCTAGTGGAGAAATTTCAGATGGCAGCTTTGAAGAGGAAAACAAATACGGTATTACTAAGAATTTATATTCTGAGGATTTCCCTGTTTCTGAGTGTTCAAACAATACAACTACATCTAACTGCTGAATATCCTTGAAATATTTGCAGTTAGATGTGAGACGAAAACCATTTCCTTATTTGCTGAATCACATAAACAGAAAGTCCTGTACCGATGACACTAAGAGCTATTTTTCCTGTCTAGTAGTGTTTATAGCAGATACCTGATGTCATGTCCCAGCCAGCTGCCACTAATAGGATGGAAAGATGTTTATGGTTAACGGCTCACTAATTCACATTGCACTAAATTCATTTATATCTGGTGATCATTGGCTCCAGCAGTTGTCATTTCAAAGTGCACCTCTCAGGAACCTCACAAGTCGGCATGAATACATTCCTTTCATGTTACAATATTACAGCAACAGTATCATTTTTCAAAAAGGTGTATCATCATTCATTCAAGAGTACGATCTAAAACTTCTGTATTTCTATATTGAATTTCCAGTTCTTTTCTACATCTAATAACCATATTGTTTTGTAAACTTACTTTTTCATGATGTCCGCAGGATGTACTTCCTCAATGGACCGACACAATTTAATTCAGCACTGAATATGCACTTCCTTGTATCAAAACTAGCAAGCCTGCCACCCGAACTACAACTCAACATCTGAACAATGTAACATTATTACTGCTTGCTGGAAGCAATGCATGGTGGGATATGTAGTCTTGAGAAAATGAGATTGCATGGCATCTAGCAGCAGGGAAAGAGATGCAAAGCACACTGGGAATGCAGGAAGTTGTTGACAGTGATGGGCAGACAGAAGGCAACACTCACTATATAAAAGGGATTTTTTTCAAGTAAGCTTTGGTTGTATTAAAGTGTTATTAAACCCTCCGGTTTTTTTTTTTGCATATATCTACTGCTAGCAAGCAGTAGATATATGCAAAACTTTTTTTTAAAAAGGGTTAATACTTACCTGTGTCTTCCCCGCGCGCTCCTGTCCGAAAATCTGAAAAATCTCGGGCGGCCGCAAAGGATCTTGGGGTGGTCGCATGCGCAATTTTCGGCCGGAAGATTAGAGACGCAAGGTAAGTGGACGCGTGCACCCGCATGCAGACAGCAAGGGACAGGAAGTGCCAGCAAGCACAGAGGAGTCAGCGCTGGATCGGAGACCTGCCGCAGCGCTGGAGAGAAGGCTGAAAAGAAGATCGGATTAAGAGACATCATTTAAGGTAAGTGCTGACATTACCATTGGGGGGAGGGAAACATTTTTTATCCTTTAATGTCACTTTAAGAAAACCAACTCTAGTATGTATTCCTATTACAATGCTGAGGTTATAACAGAATAGTATAAGCTGTGGTGTTAGAACTCCTTCAGTAGGCAGCCCTGGCGCTCCAGTCAAGTGACTTTGCCTAGGCTGAGATGATGTCATCAATCTGTTTAGTGAAGCATTTGTGAGTGTCCCCTTCCCCACTGATCAGACTGCATCTGTGTGACTTTGTGACAAGGCATCATTTTTTTTTTTTTAAACATTAAATTATTTACCTTTTTTTAAACAGTAACACAGTTACAGAGAACGGGACAAAGAAAGCAAATAGCCATCAAGGATACCCATTGATGTAAATAGTAACACTCAGAGGTACAATAGGAGAGCACCTAGCAAAAAAGGAAATGATTTACGGAAGACGGGAGTGTATTAACCACCCAGGTTTCAGGCCAAGCCACCAGGGACTTAATAGTCCCAGAGGAGGCCAAGTAGAGGGAAATCCTAACATGTATCCTAAAAAGGAAGGACAAAGTAGAAAAGAAAGAGAAAAAAGAAAAAGGAACTATTTACATTTGTGAACACAGCCCAGAACTTCATAATCTTCAGGATTAGCACGATGTGCCATCTCTGAGCTGTCATTGGAGTCCAGGAAGTAGATGCTGACCCTGAATGTTGTCTGAATAAAGATGGCGTTCTCCTTTTGGAGAGAAGATGAAGGCATTGTCAGTGGAGTGCTGTGATCTCTGTTAGCAGTAATAAATACCTGTTAGACTCCATTCACACTGAACGTTTTGTAGTGCGCTCAAATATGAAGCTCAATGTAGCTCTTCTAATGCATTTCAATGGAGGATGTTTACATCTTGCAGCTCAATGTCACCTGTAGCTGAAGCTTGTCGCTCGAACATGAGCTATTTTTCGGTGGATATCGAGCGACTTGGCCCCAATAGACTTTGATAGACTGCCAAAAGGATCGCTACGTAGCGCGACAAAATGTGCACTGTAGCTCAAAGTGGATCGGCTCAAATCAGCGCTTATTTTCTTGTAGCTCAGTGTGAATGGGGTCCGAGTGTTCTGCTTACACACTACTTAGCACGCATGTGCTTAACATGGAAAAAATATATCTGATTCTAGGTCTGCTTAAATGACAACTGAAAATTACAACCTGCATGGAAAATAATAAATGCCTCGAGAGTAAAAACATGTTTCCAAGAAGCATCCATAGAAGGGTTTTCAGGCTAACAAAGGTAATACCCAGCATAGGTTTACTCATAACTGCTGTCAGTGGCTCATTACACATACCAGGGCCATGGGTTTTCAAACTGACACTGGGTCCTGGAAGGGGCACACACACACACTTTGGGGTACTGTAGGATTTACTAGGTCAGGGGTAGGCAACCTTGACACTCCAGCTGTTACTAGAAACTACAAGTCCCATGAGGCATTACAAGACTCTGATACCGGTAGCCTCAAGCAGAGGAAGAGGCATAGTGGGATTTGCAGTTTCACTACAACTGCAGTGTTGAGATTGCCTACCCCCTGTACTAGGTAAGCCCTGCAGGGTTAACTGAAGTATTACAGGGCTTCCCTAGTACACTTTTGATCCACAATGGTTAAAGTGCCTTTCATGTAAAGTATACAACCCTGGTGTGTGTAACTTTGTGAAATAGCATGAAGTCTCCATCCTTTAACGGTGGCCATACACTGTACAACCCTCGCAAGTCTTTTGTCTTGCGATGGTTGTAAAGTAATTTAAAAAACGTACGATCTGCCTATAATGGACAGGCAGATCGTACTTGCGATCATCAGCGGGGCGGGCTTCAGATGACTGCAATGCTGAATGGGCAGTGTGCGCATGCGCACACCGGCCCGTTAGGCAGTTGTCGAACAAGCACGCCACTAACCCGCCGAGAATCGTATGATTCTCTGCGGGTTTTCCAGCCTGCTGGTTCGACTGAAGACTTGCGATCGTACAATAGCAACGGTCGCACGCCTTCCATACACTTTGCGATTTTCGTACGATCGCGGGATTTCCCACAATTATCGTACGATAATCGTACAGCGTATGGGCACCTTAACGGTGCATTCACACCAAAATCATTTTTTTTTATTGTATAGGATTTTTACAGATTTACATTTTAAATGTCCATACTTATACTACCATGTGTGCTTTTTAAACCTCCGGGGAAAATTATTATTAACCCTTGCAGTGGGGCTACCCCCAAACTGCAAGGGTTAGGTACTGGTTTTGGTCTAGGGAGGAAAATAACAAACATATACTCACCTGATCCTCAGAGCCAGCCGGCTGTGACAGCGCTCCCTCCTGCCTGTCTCCTCCTATGCTGCAGGAATGGAATGTCCCTGGACATCCTTATGTCCTATACACTGTGTACTGAATGTGATGATTTACAGGATCTTGGACCGCTGCAGTGAAGGGGAGAGAGACTCCAGGGAGCGGTCTAAGAACAAGCCGGCTCCGAGGATCGGGTGAGTATAATTTTAATTTCCTCCCTAGACCAAAACGAGCACTTAACCCTTACAGTGCAGGGGTAGACCCACTGCAAGTGTTAATAATACTTTTCCCTGGAGTTCTTCTTTAAATACCATCAGGGAATACTAGTGTTGGCTGAGGAAATTCTGCTTTACCGATAAAGTTGGCTTTCAAAAGCTACAGAGAAAATAAGAGGTAAGAATTAGTATGCGATATAGTTTACAGCCCTAA